CCCTTTCCCCTAATAGGATCTGAGCCCGCCCAAGGCAGTTCGCAGTATTCCGGGTGAATTAATGACTGTTTCCAGTTGCTCTCCTGCCCTCTGTTGGTCAGTGCCCTTGCCCGTGCTTGAAATGACACCTGTCACCTCTGCCGAACCTCTTCATTCCAACTCTCTGATTTCTTGTCTGGAATACTGAAGCCGTGTCTGCATGAGTCCCCGGTTACTATTCCTCACCATCCAGCATGTATTCATTTGCCAACGTCTTCATTGTCTCCCCATTGTCAGGCATTCCAAGCTGTCCCCCAAGTGACCACAGCCTCCCCTCTCAGCTTGTGTCCTGCTACTGCCAACCAGAAAGCTCTGTTCCCACTAATCTCCACTATTTCCCCTCGATAGCCCTCCTTTCCTTCAGGACCCAACTTAGGGGCCATTTTCTCAACAGAGCAGTGTGATGTGTTGGGAAAAGGAGTAGCTTTGAAACCAAAAAACCTGGGTTCAGCCCTGGGTCTGCTATCCATGTGACTTCAGGTTAGCCCTTATCCAGTCTGGGCCTTAGTTTTCTCAGCTGTAAATGAGTTGGTTGCTTTTAATTCTTCTGAACCATGTTCCCATGAGAGAGGTCACAGGACATCTCAGTGATGATCACCATAAAGATGATGCTTTCCAGACTGTTGGTCATGGCAAACAAATCCTAGGAAAGTCTTAGCCCAGAAATCTTCTTTGGCTGTTCCAGCTGACAAGCCCCACGCATCCTTCTTCGGTCATTTCTGCTGTTGACACCCTAGGTGACCCACATACTTGACAGATGCTCTAAGAACTAGCATTGATTAACTGGGGGCTTCAGGCCAGCATCTTCCAGCCACTGGGCCCTTTGCTTCGCCAACATCTTCCCACAATTGTTGAGATCCTTCAGATACAGCAGTACTTCCTGGTGTCTCCGTCTTCTCCAGATGCCGCTGAGAAGTGGCAGGTACCCCTGAGATAATGGGGGGCACAGGCTCCAGCGGGGAAGATCTTGGTGAGCAGATGCAGGCTGTTTGCTGTGTGTTCCTCTGCACCTGGGATCTGATAGCATCCTCTGCCTCACAGGGACCATCTGGGAAGGCCTGGCTGCCCAGCAAACAGTCTGGGGGACCTCCTCCTCATGGCACACTGGATTGGGCCTCTTTGGTTCTCTCATTCCCTGTCTGGGACCTTTGCTCCCTTCTGTCCAGCTCCTGTGGGTGAGGCCTCCCAGGAGGCCTCCTGATGATGCTGGGGACACAGAGTTCCCTTCTTTTGTATATTTTACATAAATTTTCTTTTTTCTTATATTGATTTAAATGTCAACAAACCTGGATAGTTCAAGATGCAAAGTATAATGAAAAAGAGATGGTATATGAAAGCATGAAACTTTTTTTTTAACTTTGTACATTGTGTCTTGCTTTTTATGTAATTAAAACTTAGCATGGTGATTCCATCATTGTTATCCAAATATGCTTCTGCTGTCTTCTTTCTGCCTTGTTACAGAGATTCACTGACACTCTTTTCTCCTCTCCTTTGTTTTCAGTGTTACCATCAGTATCCCCAGACTTTTACTCCAATAATGAGAAATAAAAGATAACCATTTTCAGAAATAAGGGTCATTGTGAGAAGCACATGCAGAGCTTTGCTGTGTCCCACAACTCATGTCTGTCTCAATCTGAGGGTTAGTTCATCGCAGCCACTACTGGTGGTGATGTTGTCATGTCTACTAGGCCCCTGACCCTTTGCCCTTCAGGCTCTAGCAGTTGTGACGGACCTCCGGTTGTCCTCTCTGGGTGCCCAGGGGGATCTCTGGCTCTGTCTCTGTGACTCATCCTTGAAAGGATGTTCCTGAGCCTGTCATTGTCATTTTCTTCATCATCCATTTCTCTCTTCTTCCCTGGCTTTTCCTGAAATAGCCTCACTCTTTGCAGGATCTGATTCAGGTATATGCAGTTTGCCTTGTGTGCCCTTCAGGGCTGTCTCGGGGGGGGCCTTTAAGGACTGTTTGAGGCCCTACTGTCTGCTATGACAGCCTGTGACAGTGTCCACTGCTTCTGTCTTCCCTGGCCCTTTGACGACCCAGCCTCATGGCCCAGGTCTGGGGTGCTTGTCTCCTTCATCCTGGCAGGTACTGACTCTGGGGTCTTAGCAAGCCTTCTGCCACAGTGACAGTGGGGAAAGAGCCCTGGACCTGGGTTCAAATATCCCCACTAATACTGACTCCTCCTGTGATCTGGGACAAGTCACTTGACCTCTCTGGCCTCAGTCTTCTCATCTGTAAAATGAAAGTGCTAAAGTGGATGGCCTTTGGGTCCCATCCAGCTCAAGACCTCAGGGGCCAGTGGTCCAGACTGAGCAGGAGTTCAAATGCTGATCCCAAGTCTCTCCCACGTCTTTCTATCTTGCTGATTCGAGGCCAGCCATGTCCTGTTTCAGTTACACTTCCTAGGCAGGACGCAATGGATCCTTGTGATGAGTATATGCAGGTGATTCGCTGAGTGTTTGTGGGGCGTATGTCTGCCTGCATGTCCGCGTGTGCCCGTGTGTAAATGGGAGTGGGCCTGTGGAGAGGTGGCAGCAACATCTCCATCTCTTCATGGGTGGCTGCGGGTGAGAGGTTCTGACCACCCAAATTCATCACACAGTGAAGGAATGAATCAAATGAGTAAGTGAGTGAATGAATGAATGAAAAAGTCAATATTGTGTGCTTACTATATATGTGCGAAATACTATAGATACAAATGGCAAAAAAGCTCCTGTTCTGTCTCAGTTTCACGTGGGTTTCAGCCACAAGTCAGATGAAAAGGTCCAAGGTCCTTAGAGTACAGCAGCAAAGCAGATGGGAATGCCTGTTCTGAGGAAATCAGTCCATTACTGGTCCCATGAGAGAGTTTTAGGGCCTTGGGCGACTGACCCCCACACAGTCTCTTGTTGGACTGATACATGAAGTCTTGAGTCCTACATGGCCCAGGACACAGATGTTGATGCTGCCTTGTTCATGGAGGGGTTTGCTGAGAGTTCCTGCTAAACACGCGTGGAAGGAATGTGTGAGTTTGTCTTTGAGTCCTGGGAAGATTCTAGAAGGAATTATTCAAGCAGTGTTTATTTAATGAACCTTTTTAGGAAATTCAGGCATGCGTCCTAAGAGCTGGCCTGACATCGTCAAGAATTCCTTTCTTAACGGGATCACTGAGCTGGTCGATCAGAAAAATGCTGAAAGTAAAATTGACTTTGATTTACCAAAACCTTTGTTAAACATTTCCTCCTCTTCTTGACAGATGGGGACCAGATAATCGGCAGGTGGTGATCAAGGTGATGGATTCAAAGCTGGCTAAATGGTCCAAATCCCAGAGTGCTCTTTAATGATGTGTAAGAAAAATTCACTGCTTAGGATTTTTACATTTTCTTTTTTATTCTGAGCTTATACACTGAAAAAGAGAGAGTATTTCCCCATACCCAGCAGAGCACAAAAAGGTGATTGGGTATAAAAGCAGGAATTACTATTTCATACTTTTAATTTTTTTTAAAGTACAGAAAATATTCCATGTTACTTTTACAACTTTTCAGCATGTCTGTGCTTCATTCTGAACTGTCTTTTCACTATTGTTGAATTTTCCCTTAAATCCCTCCCTTCATTAAAAAGCAAGTGGGGGGACCCCTTTTATCAGTTAAACATAGTCCAGCACAACATGTCTACCCAGCAGCCATGGCCCAAAATGGAGAACTCTTTCTGACCTTGAGTCCGTCACCTCTCTCTCACAGGTCCTGCGGTCCACATTCTTAAGTCTTTGGAAGTTATTTTTTTATTTTTTTTTATAATGCTGCTTTCTTTGCAGAAAGTGTTCTCTGACATCAGTTCATACTTCCCAGAATTCTCCGCAGCCGTCTTTTTCATCACCCTACTGTGCACCGTCACGCTCCGTTGTAGTGATACGCTGTTTCGGCCACTCCCCAGCTGCTGAATTCCAATTCTTTTCATTTCTGTTCTTCCCCTTTCTGTACCCCCTTCAGCATCAGAAAGTTTGTTTGCTTGAGACTCTGCCCTCCCTGATGCTGTCCTCACTCTCCCCCCTCTCTTCCCTGCTTTCCTTGTGGAGTTTGATGTGTTGGTACTCTGGTGTGTGCGTGCGTGTGCGTGTGCATGTGTGTGGTTTGAATGTGCGTGTACGTGTGCATCTCTCCTGGGTCCCTTTTAGTTCAGCATGAGACTCGTCTGTTGTCCGCTCGCTGACTTCTCCATATTTCTCTACTCAGCTACTCTCAGCCACCCCCATTATGAGAAATGATCAGTTCTACCCGTCTTCCCCCTTCCTCTGTTAGCATGTTCCTCCTTCTACCCTCCCTTCTCTTTACTCTCTTCAAATCCTCAGAACAAAACTAACTCTTAGTATCCTTTGAAAACATTAAGTTTCCGAAGGGTGAATTCCTTCCTTCTTCCACACCACACCGTCATGTGTAACACCCTCCACTGGCTCAGGAAGAAGCCTCATGTCTTCTAGATTCCTCTGGACTATTGTATTTGTATTTCAAAGTTTTGACTCACCCCCAGGCTTTCATCAGAAATACTTGACCATTCTCTATTACGTTAAAGGTTTGTTTTTGTTCCCCTGTAGCATTAAGCTTAGCTTTGCGGGTAAGTTATTCTTGGTTACAAGTCTCTCTCTCTTTTGCCTTTGGGGATACAGACAGTTCTTAATTAATGTAAGTGGACCATTCTACAGACCTACCCCTCCCCCATCAGGGCTCTGCATGGCCCCAAAGCCTGAGCAGCTATAGTGCCTGGAGTCCCCCCACCCCCACAGTGGGGTAGCTTCAGTCCCTGGAAAGCTGAGGACCCCCGGCAAGGTGCTGCACCAGCGCTGCTGCTGCTGCTACTGACCCACCACCACCACCCCGATGCAGCCTGCTAGGAGCCGGGGCCAGAGCCCAGGCCCAGGGAGGGGTCCTGCTGCCCACCTGCTGGGAAGTCAGCTTTGCAGGCAAATTTATGTGAAGAAAGAACTGTCTGTATTATGTTCCAAGATCTCCTCTGGTTGTTAGTAGAAGCCGGCATGTCTTGTGTGACCCTGAGAGTGGTTCTTTTGTACTTGTACTGCTTTTTTCTGGATGCCGTCAGAGCTCTAGCTTTTTGTTATGGTATTCCTGGGGCTTTTCTTTCAGGAGGTGATCAGTGGATTCTTTCTGTCTTCACTTTGCTCTCTGATTCTAGTAGCGTGTGGACTGCGGGAAGTGGAGGAGTAGAGCATCTGGCCCGAATGTCTAAGGAGACAGGTGAGTATTCCGGAAGGGAAGGAGAAGGACAGGTGGGCGGGTGAAGGGGGAGCTCTCCCTTAAAGCCCATTACAACCTGGCCCCCGTCCACCTGTCCATCCTCAGACATCGCTTCTCTTTCTGCCATCTAGAGTTCCGCCTCAGTTGCTGCCATGTTCCTTTCTTCCTTCCCTGGGCCTTTGCTCTGGCTGTGCCCATGCCTGGAAGGGACTCACAGGTCATCTCTGTCCCCCGGAATCTTTTGGTTTTTGACACTTTCATTCTTAGACCTTTCCTTTTGTCCCTCTGCTGCCCTTGGTTCTTATCTCTATGTAGTTTGCCTCCTCCAATCTTAAGCTCCTGTAAGGCAGGGAGTGTGGTGTCCTTGGCGCCCTGCTTGGTGCCTGGAACATAGTGGTCAGGACAGGAACAGGCATTTGTTAAGCACCTACTGTGTGCCAGTACTGTGCTGCTGCTGTTTGTCCTTCATTCTCGAGGAGGACCATGACATTGGGAAGGCAATGCCATGACTCGCAAGTGAATTGGATTTCCATGAGGGAGGGCCCTGCAAAGTCACCAGCCTCACTCTTTCCTCTGGAGCTGTCTGGGCCCAACGGCAAGATACGGATCAGGATGGCTGGAGATGGCCCAGGATGCCGGGGGAACCTAGGCCTTTTTAAGCTACGGTCTTGCCCAGGTCCCATTTTGTCCGAGGCAATGCCCATTCAGCGATTCAGGCTAGGTAAGAAATGAGGCAAAGAAGGCCTTCTTTTACTTAGTTTTAAAAAAAAACAACAACAATTTGGGAAGGGAAGACCCTCAGGGTTTCTGGCCAAAACAGAAACAATTGCTCTTTACACTCACTGTGAGCCATCAGAGCCCAAACAATGACCAAATGAGGCTCGGGTGAGGATCTATTATTGGCCAATCAATGAGAACCAGAGTGATTTGGGTTTAAGGCAAGGTCTTTAAAAAATAAATCTAGCCAGTACACCCCAAGATATCTTGTGAGGTTTCAGCAAAGTGCTGAGCACTTTACAAATATTATCTCAGTTGATCCTCACAGCAACCCTGGGAGGCAGGTGCTGTTATGATCCCCACTTTACAGTTGAGGAAACTGAGGCAAACAAGGGTTAAGTGACTTGCCCAGGATTCTACTAAATGTCTGAAGCTAAATTTGAACTTGGGTCTTCCCTACTCTAAGCCCCATGCTCTATGCACTGTACCACTGAGCTCCCTCTTGGGGATCCTTGATTGGTGCTGATAGAATGATTGGGAGAGAAGAATCTGCCTGTCATGATTGAAAAGAAAACTGACAACTCAAGGAAAGTTATATTAAAGAACGATCCAGGGACAAAAGGAGCCACATTTACAAGTACCCCAACTGCTAATTTTCTTTTGTTTTCTCCCTCTCAATGTATAGTGCTTTGGGTACCTGTGGCTCCCTGTTACCTTGAGGATCAAACGTCAAGTGCACTTTGCCCTTTAATGCCCTTCACCACCTGGCCCCTCCTAATCTTTCCAGTCATCTTTTGACTCTGGGACCCAGCCCCGCTGGCCTCCCTGCTACTCCTCCCAACCAGTGTTCCCTCTCTCAGCCCCGTGCTTTTTCACTGGCTCTCCCTCGTGCATGGAGTGTATTCCTCTGCTTCTGCCTTTTGCCTTCCTGGCTTCCTTCAAGACTTAACTCAAATCCCTTCTTCTCTAAGGAGCCTTTTCCAGGTTCCTGCACTGCCGACCTCTTCTATCTTGACATCATCTGCCATTTATACCACACATATGTGTGTGTATATACATCTCCTCACATGTACATAGTTGTTTGCACATCATTTTCCCATTTGAATATAAGCTCACTGAGGACAGGGACCCTGTTTTTGCCTTTGTTTCCCTACCATTTAAAGCAATGCCAACCCTTGTTGGCTACCTGGCCATCCTGCTCCCTGCCTTGCTCAGGCTCTGAGTTTAGCTTTCTGACCACTTCCATACCAGTCTCAGGAGCCCTCCATCACCATACTCTGCTTTGCAATTCAGCCTGTGAAAGCAGCTGCTATTTTTGGCTGCCATGTCACTTTCTTGACACATACTAGACTTAGAATCCACAAAAATCCCAAGGTTTTTTTCACAGAAACTATTTTCGTGCCCTGTATTCCTATCCCAAATGTATAAAGTTGATTTTTTTTTAACCAAAGTATAGAATTTTCTGGTTTTCCCCACTAACTTTGTCCCAAAAGGTTGGGCCTGCTGAGATTTTTAGGAGGTAGATTCTTTCTTCCCTAGTGTGAGTCTTAACTGTGTGTCATCAAATTTGACAAATATTCCTCCTTTTTTATTATTCAATCAGCCTTAGTTGTGTCCGACTCTCCATGACCCCATTTGGGTTTTTCTTGGCAGAGATACTGGAGTGGTTTGCCATTTCCTTCTCCAGTTCGTTTTACAGATAAGGAAACTGAGGCAAACAGGGTTAAGTGACTTGCCCTTGTCACATAGCTGGTAAGTGTCTGAGGCCATATTTGAACTCAGGTCTTCCTGACTCCAGGCCTGGCGCTCTATCCACTGTGCCACCAGCTGCCCTCTTCTTCATTTACCTTCATGAAAATGTGATATAAATATCAAATAGGGTGTGACCATGGAGAGATCCTCTGGCTACTCTCCTAGAACCTTCAACCATTCCCTCAATCAGCAAGCATTTATCAAGCACCCACTGGGTGGGGAAGAGTGTTTGCACTCAAGCAGCCCATGTTCTCTCAAGGAAAGGTTTACTCTTTGAACTGCATTGACCTGTTGACATCTGCTTTGGGTTCTAGGGATTCAGGCCTTTTCCAAATCTGCTCAACCCATCCCATGCTAGATTCCAGTCCCCAGAAGAGGCACAAGTCCAGATGCAGGAGGCACTAACCTGAGCAGGATAGGGGAGGGAGGGATACCTCCAGCTTTGGGACTGGACAGGAAGGGAGGAAGAAAATGAAAGTGAAAATACAGAGGCATCTGAAAGGAATCAGAGGGGTGATAAGACAGTTCCAATTGGATCTTGTCATCCTTGATCTCAGTAGCGTCAGAAGAAGGGTCACATCCAAGGGGAATTTAGGGTGGGAATTTTGGCTTCAGGGTGATGAAAAGAATTTGGCCAGAATGTCATGGAGTATATCAACAGGTTGCCGGTGAGGAGCCTGTTGAAAGTGGCATGGATCTGTAGCTTTCCTAGTCTAAACACAGTTTCTAGAATTCTTCAGAACCATTTGGCAATTCAGGGAGAGGGGAGGAGAAGTTGTTGGAGGAGGTAACCAGAGTGTACGATTGGTTTGGCAGAAGGGGTGAGGGACTGACTCTAAGGTGCTGGTGAAGACTTTGTTTGGGAGCTCTAAGGAGGTATTGGTCACCTTCATGACTTCTCTCCCTCTCCTAGTTCAGCCTTCTAAAGCTCCTGCCTTTGCCCAGGACAGGAGTCTAACAGGAAGAAGTACTTCTGGGTTGCTGACCACCAAGTACCAGGTAAGTTAAGATTCTGTTTTCTGAAATATCATTTCATTTCCATTCTCCTGAAAGGCCTTAGCCCATCCAAGTCTCATGCATAGCCCTCAGCCTTGGGTATTCTCTGCTAGAATATTTTAACCATTCCAATGGATTACAGAGAGTTCACAGAATCTGGGAGTCATGACTTCTGGAGTGGATTTGTTGAACCCAAGTGTCAAGCTTTATATTTAGCCACATTCAATTTTATCATAGTCTGTCAGGAACATTAACATCCTAATTCTGACATCCAATGTGGTAGCTGGACTTCCCAGAATGATTTTCTTTACCTTTTCTGCCACCTCGCTTTCTTTTGTTTATTCCTTGATGCCTTTTCCATTCAGGGACACTTCTCTGTCTCTTTCAAATGGGAATCTGTACAGGCAGTCCTCAGGTCCCTTCACCTTCTGTAGGAGGGAAACCAGTCAGCTCTTTGAACATAGATGGCAGAGGCTTGGCTGTGGAAGAAGTACAAACTTCACAAAGTCGATTCAAGTCAATGCCAAATTTTCCCTGCTCTCAGCTTAGTCTTTTGAACTAGTTGAGGGTGTTTATGCCTTGACTCCTTAGTATCTCTTTAAGAGCTAGACAGCTCAGCAGCCTCTTTCTAGCTTGATTTTGTTGTTGTTGAGTTGTTTCAGTCATATCCAACTCTCCATGACCCCATTTTGGAATTTTGTTGGCCAAGATACTGGAGTGGCTTTCCATTTCCTTCTCGAGATCATTTTATAGATGACAAACTGAGATGAACAGGGTTAAGTGACTGGTCCAGGGTCACAGAACGCGTAAGTGTCTAAGAGTGGCACTCTATTTATTCTGCCGCTTAGCTGCCAATCCTAATTTGATGGCAACACCCAACTTCCCCATCTTTGTCTTCTGTTTTGGACAAACTCCAATTTTACCAGTTGGGTGACTTAACAGTCCCCCCTACCCACTGCCTTCTTTTCCTTCTCCTAGAGTCCCTCTCTTCAGGTCCTTACCTCCACATCACCTCCATCTCCTTCATATCCTTTTCAAGTACTCTCTTTTCAAGTACTCTCATCAAGTACATTGTTTCTTCTACAGCTTCTTCTAACAACTCAGAACTAACAAATAGTCAGTATTGAGTAGTCAGTACAGGAAGTACTTTGAGATCCCTTCCCCACCTCTACACACTGCTAACTCCATTAGTTTTCTTTGGACTGTGAAAGACATGGTCCCTGGCTAAGAAGGAATGTGTTTGATGTTTCAGAATCCAGTGACATTCAGGGATGTAGCTGTGGACTTCTCATTGGAGGAGTGGAAATGCCTGAGCCCTGCTCAAAGGGATCTATATAAGGACGTGATGCTGGAGAACTATGAGAACCTGGTCTCTGTGGGTAAGCACAGTCACCCTGTGACTCCCCATCTGCCCGCTGAGCTATCCTTGCTGTGTCATTTCCAATAGCTGTGAGGGCTATGAAGAATATCTCTTGGTTTTTGTTGACTGTGTAGGGATATTCACATATACTTATAAGGTAGGAAGAATCCAAAGTCCATTGGACCCTGAAGATTGGATATTTTCAGGCACAAATTCTTTGCTTTTATACAGGTAGAAATCCTGTAACTTGACTATGCTGGCCCTGAGGTAGGAGTTTTCCTACACTCTTAACCCTAACCATTAAGTGAGAGATTCTTGGTAAAGTGTCAGGGCAGTCACCTAAAGATGTGAAAAGATCCTACTCTTTTAACACACCATGCATCAAATTAAATAATTTTCTTTCTTACCCCAAATCAGATAATTTGTACAGAAAACAAGTGGATGTTGGTGAGAGGTCCATTGTACCATCCTCTGCACCTTCCTAGATTTCCTCTTTTCCATGAAGAGGAAGAGGCTAGGATTGGACTTTTTTTTTTTTAATAAATTTATTTATTTTTAGTTTTCAACATTTACTTCCACAAGATTTTGAGTTTCACATTTCCACCCTATCTCGCCCTTCCCCCCCATCCTAAGATGGCATGCATTCTGAATACCCCTTCCCCTAGTCTGCCTTTCCTTCAATCTCCACCCCCCTTCTCTTATCCCTTCCCCTTCTATTTTCCTGTAGGGCAGGACAGATTAGGATTGGGCTTTTGAGAGGAATTTCTCCAATCCTTTCCCATTTCTGTCCCCAGGACGAGGGCTTCCATTTTCAAAACCATATGTGGTCTCCCAGTTAGAAAGAGGAGAAGCACCCTGGATAGCTGAGGGGGAAGTTCCCAGAGACCGTTGGCCAGGTGAGGGAATGACAAGTAGGCTGATGGAGTCCATACATCTGGAAGCTCAGCTGGTCATTCAAGTAGCAGGACTCTAGAAATATTGTGCATGTCATTTGACCATTATTCACTTGAGAGTGACTCTCGGTATTTAATATTGCGGGTACATATTTCCTTATATTTGAGAGAAGACCCTTATTGGAAATATTTAATGCAAAGGGGTTTTTTGTTACTCCAGTTAACCACTTTTTCTTCTTATCCTACTTGCATTGATTTTTATTAGGGCAAAAGCTCTTAAATATCATGTAATCACAATTATCTAGAGTATCTTTTGTGATCATCTCTGTCCTTCCTTTCAAGGTTGAGAATTCTCCTCTTAGCCATAGTAGTTACTTACCTGATCTAGTTCTGTTCTGAATTTTTTTATGACGTGTTCTTTAATATTCAGATAATAATAACCCATCTTTTTTCTCCCTCTTCCTGAATATCCATTTTAACTTATTTGTTATGTTGCATAAGATGTTGAGCTAATTCTAATTTTTGTCCAGCCTCTTTTCAGGTTTCCTAGAATTTTTGGACAAATGAGTTCTTCCTCAAGGAATTTTTGCTTTTGTGTTTTATAGGACACTTTGTTTTTAGTTTGTTTCTAATTTATTCTTATCTAGTCTTTTCCACTGATGTGTTTGTTTTTTCAATCAATGACAAGTAGATTTGAGGGGGAGAATTTTTAAAAATGGAATTTTATTGGCAGCCTTTGTTTATTATACTCCCAGAATTTCTTCTAGTACCTCTTCCCTTTCCCTTTCTGAGAGAACCATCCCCCATAACAAATAATTTTTTTAAACATTCATTTTTAAATTTTCATTTCCAAATTCTCTCCCTCCCATTGAGAAGTCAAGCAACATTATACCCATTATACAAATGAAGTCATGCAAAACATAAATGATATTTTAAATAAAAAATGAAAAGGGGAAAAAAAGGTAGCAAAACCAATGTATACATCAAAAAGTCTGACAATATATGCAATTTAACAGACCTCTTGACCTCCCACCTCTACAGAGGAGTAAAGTTGGGATGTCTTCTTAGATCTCTTCATAGTGGCCTCTGGGTATTTTTACAACATTCACTTTGAGCATTTTTTCTTGTTTGTTTTTTGTGATCTGTCCATTCACATTGTTGTAGTTATTGTGTATGCTGTTTTCTTAGCCCTGTTTACTTGCTTCAGATCATGTAAATATTTCTATAGTTCTTTATACTCGTCCAATTAATTGTTTCTTATAGCACAGTAATATTCTGTTACATTCATGGCCATTCCCCAATTGATGGGCATCCACTTTGTTTCCAATTTTTTGTCACCACAAAAAGTGGTGCTATAAATATTTCGATGTAAGGGGACTTTCTTTTTTCATTGACCTCCTTGGGATATAAGCCATCTCTGAGTCAAAGGTATAGACATTTTGTTCATTTTATTAGCATAATTCCAAATTACTTTCCAAAATGTTTGTACCGTACCACAGCTCCTTCAACAATGCATTAGTGTGCCTATCTTCCCACAGTCTCTCCAGCATTGATTATTCCCATCTTTTATCATTGTTGCCAATTTGCCGGTGTTTTGCTTTGTATTTCTCCTGTTATTAGTAAGTTGGAGCATTCCTTCCTGTAGTGACTAGTAGTTTGCAGTTCTTCTTTTACGAAGTGTGTGTGTGTGTGTGTGTGTGTGTGTGTGTGTGTGTGTGTGTGTACAGAGAGACAAACAGATAGATATCAGCTAGGTGGTACAGTCGATAGCGTACTGGGCTTGGAATCAGGAAGACTCATTCTGATAAGTTCAAATCCAGCCTCAGACACTTAGTAGCAGTGTGACCCTGGGCAAGTCACTTAACCCTGTTTGCCTTGGTTCCTCATTAGTAAAAATGAGCTGGAGAAGGAAATGGCAAACCATTCCAGTACTTGCCAAGAAAACTCTAAATGGGGTCACAACTGAAAAGACACAATATATATGTGTATGTATATATGTATATACAGACATATATGTGATGATATACACACCTTTGTGTGATTGTCCATATGTTGTGAATACCAAACTTTCATGTGCTCAATCAATCAGTAAGCGTTTATTAAGTGCCTGCTATGTGCCAAGCACCATGCTAAGGGCTGGGGACACAAAAGGAAGCAAAAGACAGTCCCCAAACTTAGGGAGCTTATAGTCCAATGGGAGAGACAACACTCAAACAAATATATGCAGAGGAGCTGTGTAGGGAATGATTGACGGGAAAGGCCCTGGAGTCTTCATTCCAGGGGTTGGGGAAGTCTTCCTGTAGAAAGGAGAACTTTAGTTGAAAGTTAAAGGAAGCCAGGGAGGTCAGGGTGGGGGAAGGAGTCAGAGTGGGGGAGGGAGCGCACTCCAAGTCTGGAGGCTCCCTGGGAGGGTGCCCAGAGCTGAGATGCGGAACAGCCAGGGGCCCCTGTCACGGAATCAAAGAGGGTATGTGGGGAGTAAGGTGTAAGAAGACTGGAAAGGCAGGAGGGTCGAGGTGATGAAGAACTTTGAACACCAAACCCAATTTTGTATTTGATCCTGGAGGCAATAGGGATATTCTCGATTGCAGCATTTTTTGTTTAAAAATAAATAGTCCCTCCTCAAGGAATTTATGACACACTTTTCTGTTTTCTGTGTTTCTGACACATATTTATTTCTTTTAGATTTGTTTAATCAAAAGAGCAGGTATGAAAACCAGGGCTCGGCTCTGACTCAGGGAACTTGCCTGGGAGCATCAGCCACGGAAAGAGGACCATGGAACAGTCCCTGGTGTCCTAATATGGGAGAATCCAGGACGTGTTTGGTCAAGTTAAAGAGCCAGAAAGGTCCCCAGGATGGAGAGTGCCCCCAATTAACCGTCCCTCATGAAGGATCATCTTGTCAGGGGAATGTGCCAGAAAAGAATTCTTTGGTGAGACATGTTAGTCTGGGGCCAGTCTGTTTTGCCCAAGAAAGAGCTGCTATGGGAAAAAGTCTCTATAAATATAATATACTTGCAAAGAGCCTGAGAAACTGTTCAGATAAAATTCAGTGTAACAGATTCTTCTCAGGGAAGAAACTTCCTAAGTGTAACATAGGCAGGAAATTTTTCATCTACCACTCAGATGCCATTAAATATCATATACCTGGTGAAGAGCTCTATGAATTTAATGAATGTGGAAGAGCTTTTGACAAAAGGTCAAACCTCACTGAATGTCAGCAAATTCATTCTGGAGAGAAACCCATTGAACTCAGTAAATGTGAGAAGGAAACCCTTATTAGACATCAGGAAATTCCCACTAGAGTGAAACTCTTTGAATGTAAAGAATGTGGGAAATCCTTCAGGGAGAAGCGCTATCTTCAAAGCCATCAGAGGACTCACACTGGAGAGAAACCTTTTGAATGTAATGAATGTGGAAAAGCCTTCAGTGTCAGGCAGAACCTTTCTAGACATCAGAGAATTCATATTGGCCTGAGACCCTTTCAATGTAACGAATGTGGGAAAGCCTTCAGGATGAAGGATCATCTTAAAATGCATCAGAGAACTCATACAGGGGAGAAACCTTTTGAATGTAATAAATGTGAGAAAGCCTTCAGTCACAGGGGGAGCCTTAGTAGGCATCAGAGAATCCATACTGCAGTAAAACCCTTTGAATGTATTGAATAAGGAAAAGCCTTCAATGACAGGCTGAATCCTAATAGCCATCAGAGAATTCATACTGGAGTGAAACTCTTAGAATGTAATGAATACAGGAAAGCCTTCAGAGTGAAGGATCACCTTAAAAGCAGTCAGAGAACTCATACTGGAGAAAAATGATTTTGAATATAGCGAATGTAGAAAGTAGTTCAGTAAGAAGCAAATTCTTGGTAGACATCCAAGAATTCATCCTGGAATGAAACCTTTTGAATGTAATGAATGTGGGAAAAACGTTCAGTCTATATCATCACCTTAGTGTGCATCAGAGAATTCATACTGGAGAGAAATCTTTCGAGTGTAATGAATGGGGAAATGCATTCAGGAAGAAGCAAACCCTTATCATCCGTCGGAGCATTCATGTCAGAATGAACCTTTGGGATGGTATGAATGTGGAAAAGCCTTCAAGCAGAAGGATTACTTCAACTCATAGGATCACAGGATACTCATATTGAAGAGAAACTCTTTAAATTGAAGGAATGTAGGAAAACCTTGAATGACAAGCAGAATTTTTCAGATAATTCCCAGTGGAAGGAAACTCTTTCAATGCAATAGATGTGGGAAATCTTTCAGACTGAAAGAATACCTTATCAGCCATCAGACAACTCATACAGATATAAAAGGCTGTGAATATAATGAGTGTGGGATAATCTTCAGCCACCAAGGAAGGCTTAATAAGCATTTGAAAACTCATACTGGAAGTAAACCTTTTGAATGTAATGAGTGGCAATCCTTCACTGAAAATCAGTGTCCTTTTTGGATATCAAGAAGCTTATAAAGGAGTAAAACCCCGTGAATGTGGCAAAGCCTTCAATTGAGAAGGAGGCCTTTATAAGACATCAGAGAGTTCACTGTAGAATAAACCCCTGGAAAGAAATTATTGTGGGAAAGCCTTCAATGAAAAGTATATCCTTATCAGATACCAGAGTGAAACCATTTGAATGTAAAGTCTTCATGCTGAGGCAGTTTCTCAGTCCCACAGAGGATGTGAGAAAGCCTTCAGCAATAGGGGAAGACTTATACTTCAGGAAACTCTTACTGCAAAGATATCCTGTGAATGCCCTCAGGAAAAAGCATGCCATAAAGCCTTTACTTACCTCACAGCCAGAGTGAACCCCCAGCATACGATGAATGTGGGAAAAATTTCAATGACAAGTAGAATCTTGTTCGACCTTATGGGGTTCATACTGGAGGGAAGCCCTTTAAACATGGGGAAACGATTTTCTCTTGTCTATGACTTCCCTCCTAGGACACATTCTGAGCCTAGAAGAGATTTTGAGAGCAAATATTTGATGAGATACTGGCTTTGGCATAAGCCAAAACATCAGGAAGTGCACCTTCCCAGCCTCAGGGAGACCCACCACCAGAACGCTTTACTCACATGCTTCTAATGTTTTTAACCACACGGACTCCCGGAGGCCTGAGCTACAGGGGCAGAGCGGTCAGCACTTTCTTCTAGTGTCAGTGGGCAACATTCCCAAAGAGGATGCTCGAGACTTTTAGCCCCGTGTTTTCATGTCTGGTGGAAAGCCATGCTTGCTTCTTAACTCGTGTTTATAGTTCGAGAAAGTGGAGATGGCCTAACTCCCAACAAATACATTTCTCATGTGAAAGACTGGTTGGAGGACCTGTTCTCAGCTCAGAAAGATTTTCATGGATATAAGTGATCAGGTATTAGAATTACATGTAAAAAAAATCTAACGTGCAGGCAGCATACAGCATAGCAGACCAATGTAGTTTAAATATTGAGGAAGTTTAAATGAGTTAAGTGATATACAGATAGTTCTTGCTTTATGTAAGTGGACTGTTCCACAGGGCCTCTATGTAAAGTCATTTTTATGTAATGTGAACTTGCCCACAGATGGGGAAGGAGGGAGGAAGTACCTTTAGAGGGAGGGGGCCAGGGCAGGAGGAGGGGCAGGCCGGGCCTGGCCAGAAGCAAGAGGGAGAACGTGCAAGGGGGAAGGGAGACAGACACACAGAGGCTAGACCTGGACACAGACGAGAGGAAGGCAGACACGCAGGGCTTGGGGACAGACACCAGACACACAGGCTGGACACAGGCGGGTGTGCAGGGGGGCAAGGATCTCCTCTTGGCACCAGAGGTCTCAAGCTGAGCCCCCGGCCTCACATCTGTTCTGCTCTCATTTGGAAGGTTTTCTTAAGGTTTTGGTTTGTTTTTTGAGGCAAGGAGGCCACAGAGTGCCAAGTAGATTGGCAGGAGCCGAGTGTGAGAGGGCACAGTACTATACAGTAATATTAACATAGATGGGGTTTTTTTGGAATGGAGATTTCTTTCAGAATTCTTACATAAAGTCGAAATGTGTAATGTGAATTTATGTAAAGCAAAGGCTGGCTGTACTATATACCATGTACTTTAAATACTGGGCTAGTTGTCAGGTCTCAAAATAGGTTATTTTGGGCTCTACAGAGACTGCAATACATAGCAAGCACCTCTTACCCATAAGCAGAGGAGTCAGCCCACTTGGCTCCAAGAAGGGCCCCTCCACTCAGGGCTCATAGTAGCTTTGAGCTAGAGAATGGTTCTGACGGGGAGGACACGACCAGTCCTGGCTTGAAAGTGACCTTGTTCTAGTGCAGGGCTTCTTAAACTTCTTCCACTCGTGACCCCTTCAGCGCTTCTTACAACTGTGGGTAGAAACCTGAGACTAATCCCTTTCCCACCGAATCCTCCAAAGATTCTGTGACTCAGTTGCTATTTGGGGAATGTAACCAGCCATCTTTTGTAGTAGGTCTTGCCTGGTGTCCCCAGCCATAAGTGTCTTCTTACCCTTGCGTATTTGATACGTACCGAGTTATTTGAACGTCACTTGTCAAATTCCAATTTGTGCCATTGGAGGGCACAGACTCATTTTGCCTTTCTTGCTCTCTCTAGCACTCAGCATAATGCCTAGCACATAGTAAATGTTTAATAAAGGCCTCTTCACTAAGTATGGAGATAGGCTCATCACCAATCCACTAACCATTTGGTGATGAAGAAAAAATAGAAAAGGACCCTCAGTCCTGAAGGGCTCCCTTCCCTTTTGAAGTCAAGGTGGCAGGATTATGGAGACAGAGCCAAGGACTCGCAACCAAGTTCATTTTGACTGTTGTTACTTCAGACGTGAGGTTCCCATCCAGTCCTCCGTGAGGAAACGTAGAGGACCCAGATCACATCGACCTTGACATTCTCAGTAGACACCAAATGAGAAGAAAGCAGGAAGTTACAGCAAACCAGCTGGACGGCTCACAGACTCCTTGGAGGGTCAGACCATCAGTTTTACCGTGTGCTCAAAGACAAAAAAATAGCATCTCTTGAGCCACTGATGCCTCTCACTGCAGTGCCCACATATGTTTTTTAAAAATGTTGACATCTTCTATTTTTATATCCCCTCCTTTTCCCAACATAGCCTTCTCCTTCACCTAGAGAGCCATATCCAAAGTATAAGAGCTCATTAAAAATGAAGCTTTTGTTTATCTTTGCCAGTTGGTTGGAGCTGAGGTGAAGGACAGTCTTGGGCTGGAGGAGCAGATAGGCCCAGTAATGTGTTGAGATCAATATGATTTGACAGGACTTGGTCAAGATTGTGCTTTCCATGTTCAGGAGAACCGAGATATATAAAAGCTAGCCTGCCAGGATCTGGTGTGCTCACAGGTCTGCTAATGTTCTGGTGCTCTCTGGACTTTTTTTGACGGTGAAGAGGCAGAACGGAGCAGCATCTATTTTTAGTCAACTATCCCTTTTATCCTTTGTTATTAATAAAAAATAATTTTACAGTATCTTACTGTTCATAAATGTTATTGTGTGATCCAATCCTAAGTGTAAATCACCAGACACTCATAAGTTAGGTCTGGACCAGAATGTTTGGCAATATTCAGCAAATGTGAATTGCAATAACTACATTTCCGGTGATTAAGGTGGGGATTAGGCAGTATGGGGGCAGGGAGGATGGAGGAACCTCTGGCAATTGGATTATGGCTAGAACATCTGGGGACCCCTCTCAGAGGAGGGGGGGCTTCCCCATTGCCCACTGCCAGTAGGTTTGTTAAGGGCTTATGGAGCTTAACAGGGACAGTAAAAATGTTGCCAATATCCTATCCCTTGGTTGTTAATAATGGCTTTAGAAAAAGCTGGATTGCTAGAATAAGGAAAACAAAGATAAATCTTCTTTGCACATTCAGCTATTAGAAGGATGTGAATGAGCTTTGGGTTTATCGGGATTACATCCAGAAGGCAGAGGGCCTTAGTAACAGTGCAAGTGAAAAGCCCAACGTTGACGTGTGCTGAGTCCCATAGGCTGCAGGCGGGAAGCATAAATGACCTCACAATGCTGCTGGATAATGTGTGAAATCCTCGAGCTCAGGGAGAAACGGGAAGACATTTGGATCAGGAGAGGGGATGAGAATCGTCCAGAGCAATTTGTGCTCTCTGTCCCAAGCCAGAGGAGGATTTCTTCACTGAAGGTTCAAAGGGTAGTGGGGGTATCACTGCCAAGAGACTTCTCAGATTTCAAGAGGAGTTTAAAAACCAATGATTAGTGAAAGTGTGGTCTAATGAGTAGTTTCTCCTGATTGTAGTGTTCCATCATCTTCAGATCAAAAGATTTGTTGCAGAGTTCATTCAGTTAAAGGTCCTGGACAGATGCTGTCTTTTGTCCCTCTTCCAGTGATTCTCAGGGTGAGTTATGTAAACATGACCACAGAAAGCATTCCCTCTATAGCCAGCTCCCCAGTGACCTTGGGATCACCAAGACAGCTGGGGAACTGCTAAAAGATAGATTTGATCACGTGTGTTTATTTAACTCATGTCCCATGACCAGTCTTGTCAATGGCAATTAATAAGAATCATACCTGGTGTATGTAGCACTAAGATTTGCAAAGTACTTTCACATATTTTACCTTTACAACAAGCCTGGGAGGAATTATTGTCCCCATTTTACAGATGAGGAAACTGAGGTTGAGAGGTTAAGTGGATTTCTCACGGTCACAGAGTTAATAAATGTCTGAGACCAGATTAGATCCAACCTTCTGAGTGAAGATACACCTAAATATTGTTAGATTTAACCTTGGGGCTCCCTTAATATTTTGCCATGCAGGGCTGGGCAGATCAACTCATGGAATCAAATACTGCTCTCCATGCAAATAAACTCTCTGAAGAAGATGAGAGGACATACCATATTTGCTCCTGTGGAAAGGTGGGAAGGCAGTGATAATAAGGAGCTTCAGCTGTGGTTCTTGAAATGTGAGGATCAGACTTCTGAATCAAAGAAAAACTGCAGTAAGCACCTTCATTGAGTCTAAGATTGCTTGAAAAAACAGCCTTGAGACCCAAGACCTTCCCTGACAAACACTACCAACCCTTCAACACCACTCCCCCCAAAAAGCCTGAATACCCTTTCAAAAAAGAAGAAATAATAACTTCCTAGATTTATAAAATCAAAAGACAAAGCAAAAATAGGAAAATCCACTGTCATCTCTTTAAAGAAACCCGGAAGAATATAGTAGCCAAAGTTCAATGCTTGGAGGTAAAAAACAAAAACACATTGCAGAAATCATGCAGAAATAGTTCAAATACCAAGGAACCAGTCAAATCACACAACATTTGGCAACCAATGCCTTACAGAAGAGGTCACATTCGAATATGATTATCCTTAAAGGCAAAAGATACAGGTTCACAACCAATAATAATTTACCATGCAAAACAGCATAATCCTAAAGTGGGGGAAATAGACTTTTAATGGAATAGAAGATTTAAAAGACATTCTATGAAAAGCTTAGAGTTAAGAAGAACTTTGAAATGCAAATGTGAGTCAAGAGAAAACTGAAGAGATAAATAGATTTGAGCAATAAGAAGAGGTTATATGATGATGACATCTTACATTCTTTTTTTTTTATTTTTAGGCAATTGGGGTTAAGTGACTTGCCCAGGGTCACACAGCTAGCAAGTGTCAAGTGTTTGGTCTGAGGCCAGATTTGAACTCCGACCTCAGGGCCAGTGCTCTATCCACTGCGCCACCTAGCTGCCCCGACATCTTACATTCTAAGAGGGATAAGAGAAGCAATTATCCCATCAGAACTCTAATGTCTTCAAGGATCACAGAAGGAACAGGCATGGCATTACCTCGCTTTCATCTGTAACACTGATTAATCAAATACACACACACATTCATGTAGAAGTATATTAAACCCAACAGAGAAATAGGCAAGGCTGAGACAAGTTGGGGTTTAGAAGACAGGGTGGTGTTCAGGGGGGAATAATAATGATAAGAAAAACAGATTTTCACTTTGGAAGATGCATCCCAGAGAAATTTAAAGAAAGCCTAAGTATCAATGACAAGTCAAGGAGAAGTGAAAGGTTTTGTGGGGGACATTCAATTGTACTGCTGCTTACTATTTTTTTTTTAGAGGCAATCAGGGTTAAGTGCCTTGTCGGGTCACACGGCTAGTGTCTGAAGCCAGATTTGAACTCAGGTCTTCCTGATTCCAGGGCCAGTTGCACTATCCACTGTGCCATCTAGCTGACCCTGGCTTCCTACTATTCTGCCATCTTGACTCTCTACCTGAAAGAGAACTTTCAGTCAAATGTTGGGAGCAGAAATCACATTGCAAGGAGCTGAGAAATAAGTGTAAAGTACAGATGTTGGTGCCATGATCCCAGATGACCTTTTCTAGGAGTTTAACTGTAAAGCAGAGAGTTACAAATTAATCATTTGAAGTAATAGTCAAATAAAGTGGAATGGGGACGTGATCTGGACATTTTAGTAGGCAGTTGAAATGAAAGCCATGGAAGTGAAGTGATTCCCAGGGGAGAAAGTCCTAGGATAGAAGGGAAGAAGGCCAATCTTAGCATCCACTTCTGTGGAGCAGAAGCTGAGGAACCATTGAGGGTGACAGAGAAGGAGTAGTCAAAGAGGTAGGAGGAGAACCAAGAAAGGGTAGGACTACAGAAGGGAGAGGAAAATGTCCCAAACTTTGCAGACCTATCAGAAGATTAAATTCAGAAATTAATTATTGAACTGTGATCAAGCCTAGAAATTTCATCAGCTTCCCCAACATGTCTCTCTGGATGAAGCTCTGGCGGAGATAGATGGGGGCCCTGATACTGGGACATCTGGAAGGATGCTGGAAAGGAATATGATTTTTACCTCCATCATCTCCCTTGATCCCCTCCCCCCTTGATCTTCCTCTTGATGACCTTCTGGCCATTAGGCCTGATAATATCCATTCTCAGCTCAAGCCCATCAATACACTTCTTGGTCACATAGACCATGCTCTCCAACAGAGACTTTACGAACTTGAGTTATGAATCAAGGGCATATGCACGCACTGATAGAATCCTAATAAAGCTGCCCCCAGCCCTAAGATTCTAACTTCCTTATGGGCTGCACTGAACAGTAGGCACATCCTGATTTAACCACACAGGCTGGCTTTAACCACACCCCAGGCCCCCAGACTCAATACAGACACTGCCCCCTAGTGAGCCACTGCCCCCAGATCGAATTCACACATTTGAACAGGTGTGTTCTTGCACTCAACCACAATCACCTCATCCATTTAGCCCAAGACAGGACCACAAGACATAACTAACCATCTTGATCAGACAGGACCACAATAGCTAGCCAATTGGAGGGCAGCACGACCAGGATGTCTGACTACTGACCCACAGAAGGGACCCCTCCCCATTACTTAATCCCTTAACAAACCCCTCTTGCCTTTTTAATACTTATGATTTCCCTTATATAATTGCATCTTTACCCTACAAAAATACATCTTGTTTTCTCTGAAGTTGCTGGGTCCTTTTGGAACCTGGCCTGCTTCTGAGGGGCGTCAATCCTCAATAAATGCCTATACTTGCATTAGAGGTGGTCTGACTCTGACTTCATTGAGATGATTCTGCCACAACACACCACGAAACCACTACATGCACTGAATTGTAGGACCTGACTCAAAGTCCCTGCCATCTTTGTGATGAGATCCCTTGGGCTGGGTTCTGTGTGTGTCTGTGGCCTTCAGTGCTCTAGTTATTTTAAGTCTAGCATGAATATCTACCGTAAGTGGCCACTCCAGTGTTAGTCACCTCTCTGAATTCTCTTGTTTGGACCTGGCCCTTACCAAGTCTGAGAGGTCAAAGAGTCCTCGCCACTGTGCCATTTCTCCCTGGCATCCATGTTGGTCAGCTGCAGGTGGCCTGGGCACTCCTGATGAGGCCCAGGGTGGCATCACCAGCCTCAGGCTGCAGGGCACAGCCGGCTTCATATGTCATGTTACCTCTGACGCTCTCTCCTCCAGTCCTGCCCCTTGCTTCCTGGAGGATATTGGCCAAGACTGTCCGGCCTTCCTTGTCCCTGTGGACAAGGTAGAGGGGACATAGGTCATTTTAGAAAGGCTTGAATGACTGGACCCAGAATGACATCATTCCGGAATGATGACTCCAGTGAAGAACCACAGGGACCCTTCCTTGGCCCGGTGATTGATGTCTGCCATCTTTATCAGTGACATGTGCACTCAAGTCTCTAAGTATAAAGGCAAGTCAGAGTGAACGGGACTGTTGGCCAGGTACAGTGAGCACCTCGAGAATTGGAGGGAACAGCCGTTAGTCAAGTCACCAAGCATTTAGTAAGCGCCTACTGTATGCAGGGCCTGTATAGGCGGACAAGCCCGGGTAAAGTGAACCTCGAAGGGGCAGCGATTGCTGAGAAAGAGCCTGAGAGGGGCGGGAGGGGAGAAAAGCTAGCTCTGGGCGGGAGACTTGTGAGGGGCGGGGCAGAGAGGTGAGCTGGGCTTCTGATTGGTGAGCTGGACGGAGGCTGCTGGGCGCTGATTGGCCGAGCGATCACGCCCCCTCCCTATTCTTGTATGCAGGTGCACGTGGTGTATGGACCGTTAGCGGATGGGGGGATGTGGGGGTGCCGGCGTTGAGGGTGGTTCTGAGCCGCGTTAGGAGAGGGGAGCCTGGTGGAGAGTCGGGTCTGGGGCCTCGGGGGAAAGGGGGTTCAGAGGAGGGAGCCGGGAGCGCGGTGAGAACGAGGTAAGAATCCCGGCGGAGAGACTGAGCATGCGCACAGGCTGTGCAGCCCCGCCCTGGAAAGCTGCTTGGGAACGAGGCTGAGCATGCGCACTGGTTGCGTAATCCAACCGCTGACTCTGGAGGCCACGGGGTTGGGGGGAGTGTAGTTGGGAGCCCGGACATGCGCACTGGCGGCACAGCCCAGCCTGGGTGCGGCGTGGGCGGGAACACTTGTGGGAACGAAGCTGGGCATGCGTGTTGGCTGGATAAGCCAACAGCTCGTCACGAGGGTCTCTAGGCGGCCATAGGACGGGAAGGGAACTGGAGGTGGGATGGTGGTGAACCCGAGCATGCGCAGAGGCCGGACCTTGACCTTGTGGGCGGACCGGGGGAAAGGAAGCTGGAAGTCCGGGGGGCATCCAGGGGAGCTCGGGATGGAGCATCTGGAGGTTGCTGAGGGGTCAGCGAGGCTGCAGTGCGGAGGCGGGAGGTGAGCGGAGCTGGGTCGGTGGGAACTAAGCCTCTGCTGGGGAGAGGGAGGGGAGATCAAGCCTGGTGCCCCCTGCCACCCCCGTGACCTTGGGCTTGTTTTGTTTGGACCTGCCCGTGTTCCTGCTGTCTCCCCGTGTAGAGTGGAAGCCCCTGGAGGGCAGGCTCGGAGTTCCGGGGGTACCGCTGGGTTATCCGGGGTTCAAGGCTGGGCAGGGAAGGAGGGACTGGGGGTTGCGGGGAGACCAGGCGAGCCTCCCGCAGTGTTTCTGGCACGGGCTTTTCTGGGTGCCGGCTCACACCGAGTGAATCCTGCCGGGCAGAGTCTGGGGGTCCTTGGGGGGGGGAGTGTGCATCCGGACCCCCCTTATGGCGCGGCACCCCACACAGAAGCGCACTGGGTTTGTGCTGCCGGGGTCTGCGGGCCGTCTCCGGAGGCCTGGCCTCTGAGAGCGCCGGGTCTCGGAGCAAGGAGCGAGGTAGTGAGAGATGGTGGGTCGGATCAGCGGGCTTGGGCTTGAAAACCGGCAGGTTGGGGATGGCTGAGCCTCTGTCCGAAGTGCTGGAGAGATCGGGCGGGCGGTTGGAGGAGGGCGGTTGCTACCCCGGTACTCAAAGCGACCGCGAGCCGTGGTTGGGGTCCGGGCAGCATTCGAGACCAGTAAGATTGACGGAGCGATGAGTGAGCGTTCGCAAAGGAGAGCGATCGTTTTGGTTGTGAGTCCAGTCTGACTTTTTGTGACCCCTTTGGTGGTTTTTGTGGCAGAGATACTCGGGCTGGTTTATCGTTTCCTTCTCCGGCTCATTCTACGGATGAGGAAACTGAGGCAAACAGGTTGAAATGACTTGCCCAGGGTCACACAGCAAGCAAGTGCCTGAGGCCAGATTTGAACCCAGGAGGGTAAGTCGGCCCGACACTCTAGCCAGTGCACCAGCTGCCTCACCTTGAATGCCGTTTTTCCCCATTAGAGCTCCTCGAACCCAGGGACTGTAATTCACCTTTCTGTGTAGCTCCAGCACTTGGGACAATGCCCGGCAGACAGGAAGCACTTCAGCATGCCTGCTGATTGACTGAAACACCTGGCCTTGCTTCTCAGGAAGAGGTGAAGTCAGACTGAGTTCACTTGTTTTTGGGGTTTTTTGCCTGAGTGGTCAGGGAGTCATTTTCCTAGATCACAGCATTTGGAAGTCTCTCGTGCTCTTCTTGCAGAAACTGGAAAAAAAAAAAGATACAGAGGTGTAGGTATAATTCAGATGACTTTGAAACTGGTTGATTGACTCC